CTATCCGTTCATGTTCACGGGACGCATGGTGAAACCTTGGAACGAATGGATGTTTGTGGTCTTTCCAAAAGGACCAGACTCACCTGTTCCATCCTACAGCAATGAAGAATGGGGTAACGTGGTCGCGGACTATATCGATGATCCGAGTGTCGAGGTCAAGGTTTTGAATGTGTCGAAGTGGATGATCAATGAGACGTCCGCTGATAGTATTTCTAAGGGAAATATGTGAGCTTCCTATCCCTACCGCAGGTACTCGATATTAACTATAATCATAGTTTCTGTCTCGGAGATGCTATACACAGACATCCACCAACTCTAGGTATGGGAAGCAACACCAGCATCCAAGACTCATTCAATCTAGCCTGGAAAATTGCTCTCGTCTCCAACGGTGTAGCTTCGCCAAAGCTCCTAGAAACGTACAACGCTGAGCGTCAACCTGTCGGTGCTCAACTCGTCAAACTCTCAAATGATACCCTGCGGAAACACATCGCTGTGTGGATGGCACTGGGGGTCATGCCGCCGGGCAGTCCAGAGAAGCTGCGCCTTGCAACCATCCGAGCACTCAAAGAGAACTCGCCGAAGGGACGGGAGGCCAGAAAGAACCTAAAAGAGAAAGTCGATGACATGCAGCACGAAACGCATGCTCTAGGTATTGAAATGGGTCAGACGTACGTCAGCCGTGCCGTATACTCCAGTGATGAGTTAGGGCCGTATAAATCCGAGGGCAAGGAAGCCGAAGATCCTCAGTTATTCTACACACCTTCAACGTACCCTGGCAGGAGGCTTCCACATGTTTGGCTTAATACTCCAATTCCGGGGAATATGGTGTCTACGCTCGACGTCGCGGGTAAAGGAGGTTTTTCGCTTTTCACTGGAATTGGTGGCGATGGGTGGAAAGCTGCTGCAGAGGGGGTGAGTAAGGAGCTTGGAATGGAAATCAAGAGTGTTAGTATTGGTCCTGGCCAGGATTGGGAAGATGCTTATTTGGACTGGGTAGATAAGCGAGGTGTCCAGGAGGACGGAGCGGTACTTGTGAGGCCGGATTTCTTTGTGGCGTGGAGAGCGAATGAGAGCGGAAATGAGCTCGAGAGGCTAAGAAAGGCCTTGAAGAGTGTTCTTCATCTCAGTTAAAGGGAAATATGTGTTGAGCTGTAGCAGACGGAGTGGGAGGAAGCATGTTGTTGTTGCTTGCTTGGTGAAGCGCGCTCTCTAGAAGAACTATCTAAATAGAGCTAGTCCTAATCAGGACTAGTCTACAAACGCCGATGTTTGTGAGGTCTATCACCTCGATATCCACCCTCCAACAATATGTCAGCTGCCTTCCCTTTATTTCTTCTGGATACAGTAGCCTTTACTTGGTTTGAGATGTAGATAAACCACCATAATCATGATTACTCACACATCTACATTCGTTTTCAAATATAACTCAGACTTCATAAAACCTGATTCCAAGTCTCTATCCTCTATTTTATTTGTTTCTTCATACAATCCTTGGGAGGTTCAGCCTTTGTTGGCGAACACGGTATTAGGCTTTCATTGTCACGTGAAAGCTACGATGGCCGACGCGCGTAATTTCTAGGTCCATTCCACGGTCATCACCATTGTGTAATCATATTTCATATGCTGTTATCACTTTTAATCCTCTATATCAACACCATGTTGTGCACACCTAGATTAAATCACGATACATGCCATCGCTATAGGAATGAAATAAAGGTTTTGGTGCCTTCTAGCCGACTAAAAATTCCCCATCATCCTGAAGATGATGCCTTGACACACCAATGTGTCCCTAGACATCTTCAACCAATACTATGTCCGAAGGATATGAAGATAATTCGATTAAGAGGAAGATCGATGATATCGATCGTCCTTCTACAGCTGGAATTGCTCCGACTAAAAGCGGATCAGATTCTTTCGGCTCTCTATTCGATCCCATACGCAATGCTGAAGAAACCCCCTAAAATCAAGATGTTAGTCTAAGTGAGGGGGTCGCCCAAAACGAAGGTGCTACTCAAAACAACACAGCTGACTCAGCATTGCAACCCAACCTTCCATCCGCCGTCTATTTCATCGAAAACGTCCTACGTCGAGTCCTCATAGTTCCTGACACGGAGTGCCTGCTCTGCTAAGAAATGCTCAATGAAAACGAAGATGTTCTCTACACATCTTGCCATGAGGGTAGGCACAAGCACCACTTTCATTTCGCCTGTTTGACGAACTAGGTGCTTAGTACAAAGACCCAATGAAAACGGAGTCTAGTCTCATAAAATGTGCCAAAAACAAACTGACGGCTGCTGAACAATAACGATCCCATGCCGAGGCCGAGGACTATTATGTGCGCCAGTTAGATTATAGACCTGACGGCCTGCTTATGCTATAGGATATGGTGGATGAGCATGTTCAGCACGCCATGGGGGAGTCCCGGAATATAGGGATCTACGTATATATCATCGGCGAAGTTATAACTGCCTTGCGTCGTAGGTATGACGTGGAAATAATTTGTCCAGAGCATTCTATCTTCGAAGATATGTTGTAAGGTGTCACGGTTATGGAAGGAGACGTCTGGTAGACGTGCAGGTGAGAGCGACTGCTTGTGAAGCTATGGGAAGTTACGACTGCACATTAGAAAGCAGGTTCTTTGAACTTGCATCAACACACAGACACAGAACAATAGACCCTCTTTTACCCTAATATAAGGTTATATGTATCGCACGATCCCTATTATGGATTAGACCTGATATCATGTGATACCTGGAACAGACAGTATAAATAGTCTTGATCCTCCATAGATATTAATCAACACAGTTCTCCTCTTCATCTACCCGATACTTTCCATATATGGCTACGGTTCATCAACGCCGAGAATATCGACAATGAGCCGAGGCGGCATGATGCGCCTAAAAGCGATGCTTCTGATCCATTAGTGGCTTTGTATTTTTGGCTTAGGCATCAGGAGGTGGATCCCCATACTTGGGCCTAGAAATTCGAGAGCAGCAAATAGAACTAGACTTCGATTTGCCCTTTAATCTAAATCACCTTATGGGACTAGGCTACGCCGATCTAGCTGCGTCTAGTGCACCCCAAAGTGCTCCTACAGAATCTCAATCTTCTAAATCTCAAGATTTTAAAGACTATCCGCCTGAATAGTCTAGAAACCGGCTAACTGCACGACATAAACCCGCTCAGCAAGGAACGTCCAACTCCTATCCCCCAAAGCTAGCGTGGGTGTTAAATGGACGAACCTGTAGAAGCCGAAGCCGGACAGTCTGCCGACTCGAAGACTCTAATATAAACAGCATGCCACAATATACGTCGAGGAACCCGAATCCGATGGCAAAGAAGAACAATGTCGTCGTCGTTGCGGCATTCATCCACCTCCGCGATGATCGTTCAAGGAGCCCACGCAAACGTCAGGAAGTTCGAGATTAGATAGCAGGACCTTATGCTATTACAAACGAGGTTTCGAACGTAAAGTGTGCGAAACTGAACAATCAGACTGGTGAAATCTCTTAATGAAGTCTGTGGCGATTCAGGAAGGGATATGAGGAACTGAACTGATTAAGGATGGCCAGCAGGCCATATTAATGTACATAGAAAAAAGGGTATATCGGCTGATATCCGGCGTGATTTGATATCGTGCGACGGTATCCGATGCAGCCTGCAACCGGATAACTTGCTACTATATTGTAGTAGGAAATCGCACTCGGCAGACTCGCCAAATCCCTATTACGAAGTTAATAAGTCAGCTAATGCGCGAGGAACTACCTTACAGCTTTTTGCCTACTTCAGAATGTAAAGCTAATATGTTTCTAATATCAAAATCGATTGTCGATTCCAGTTACTCAAAATTGGAAGTTTGTTAGCTGAGACCTAAATAGGTAATCAGGCACGTCAGGAAGGAAAGAAAGAAAAATTCATGTTGGATAACATGGGCAAACAAGACTCTTCTACTACTCACACTTTGCGCTAGGGTCGAGACGCTCTATTTTAAGACCCGTCTCTTTCCCATTAATGAATTAGGCTGTTTACTTGCCCACTTCTGCCCGTACGAGCGGGATCTATGGACTAGTTGGGCATCAGTATGCTGTTGGGCGCTGCATTTTGATACAGTTGCAGGAAGACAGGTGACTAGTTTTGCCGACTTTTCTTTGTCTTGCGTTCGCGAAGTATGTGTGTGGTTTGTGGCTCAGTATGACGATATCAAAAAACTTGATCTGCCCAGAATAAACGAAATGTTGCGGTTCGATTCATCTGGGGGAGAAGAAACGGGTGAAGATGGCAGACTACCACAGCAACGCGAGGGCGATTATAAATCTGGTCTTTCTCTAGCGAAAAGGAGGCGGATAATTGCAGATGAGGAACAGATTGTTCAGTCGGACGAATAGCCATGGGAACTATATTAAATAGCTAAAGTAGATGAAGATTTTTACTGGAATATGGGAAAAGAATTTCACTTTGACGCCATTTCAATCAATGTTCAGGGGTGGCTTTAATCAAAGCACGAGTTCGACTTCCCCAAATATTTACGTACTGGTAGAACTGTCATTACTCTCTATCAATCTAATAGAACCAATTCTTGAGACGAAAATACATCCCTATATAGAGTACAATACTTCTAGAAGTATACCACAATACGCCCCCGTTAAATCAATTACATATCTACAAAATTAAGTCCAAACTATATTTTACCTAAGGGTTACCAGAAGTATGTTCGTCAAAGGACCAGATGAGGCTTCTAATTGGTTAAACTGTGCCGTTAACGACCACGTGACTAAAACCTCCCGGCAACCTATAGTGTACCCACCAACCTAAATATAGACCAGATTATCACAGCCACTCGCTGGCCGTACGACTCTCGCCTACTATCCAATCATCTCCCACAGCCATCTTTGCCCTTCTTAACCAGACTAGGTATCTAGCCTGTTTTATCATTTCGTAGCCACAAAGGATACATCTTATTAATTCTACTAAAGTAGTAGTCTGTATAAATACTGTACATTGGAAGGATGGCCGAGCGGTTAAGGCGTTGTGTTTAGGCTTACTAAGCTTAAATCCCGCAATGGGAAACCTCGTGGGTTCGAATCCCACTCCTTTCAATTCTTTTGCCCCTCCGTTGGGAGGATGGTTGATGATTCTCACCCCTTCTCTTTTGCTCTATAAGCTAATTGGATGGATGAGCAAAGATTTTTGCGGAGGTATATGCCGTCAGAATAAGTTAGTGGGGGGTCGCCTAATGTTGAATATTTTTTGTTGCTTACAAGCCTGTTTGGGTACGGACAGATTTCGAAAGAATGTGGGAAATATAAAGAAGGGAAATTGGTTTGATATTTGATATTTGATCGCGCAAGCAGATGTGCTGCCTATTTTCGTGGTTAAAAAGACTGTGGTAAAGTCGTTTAGTATGGTAGACCCGAGCCTCTCGTCCCGCACAACACCAACAACTCAATCCCATATCCGGAAAAAAACCAAACAACAGCACAAATTTCTCCTTCGCAGCCATCTAGCCCCGAGAGCCTATCCCCAGACCAACATAACCTAAAACACATCTCCCGGGGTAAGGCATGCCCGACCCATCGGCTCGGGATGACCTCCTCCTCTCCGTACGTACTACATGCCCCTCTCCAAACCTTGGAACCTGGCATCTTAAGCCCACCCATAAACAAAACCAATGGTCTCTATCCCCTTAAGCACGTCCGCATTTTCATTCAAGGAGCCTTCCCCAAGATTCCAATTACCACAGCACATCTCATTTAAACCAGCCCACCTTACAGACCATTTCATTTTTATTCTCCACTACCTTCCCACACCCTCCACTTCAGCCCTAAACCACAACATCGCCCACACTACATAGCCCGACATCCCCTCCCGCACACCCATTCCGTCTTCCTCCACGCCTAGTTTCCGACAACATCCTCATCTACAACTTTCTTCAAGCTCCGTAAACTAGCTGTCCTCGCCCTCTCGACAATCCACCGGTCCTCCCTATCCCTTCATTCTATGAAATCCACCCTCTCAAGTACCCCCAACCTGACAACCAAAGCTCCAATCCTCCCTCCGCAACGCATGTCAAACCTTCGGCCCCAAAAGCCGCCAATACACCGACATCGTCACCCTAATCACTGAACACATGTCCAAAACCCGAAAAGGATCACAGCAAGAAATCAACGATTTGATTTCGCGAATGAGCGAGGTGGGGATACGTGGAGATGATAGATAATGGGAAGGGGGTGGATGAGGATGAAGTAGGACAAGCAGCACGGACATTCCTATCTATACGTTGCCACTCGAAAAAGTATCCGCACGACAAACCGGATGACAGCCTGAAGAGACGATGGGAAAGCATGTAAAAATGGGTATAATCATAATATATTCACCTCACCTCACCCACCACCCACCACTCTCCTCTCTAGACCTCCAAACCTATGTACAGAGATCCTTAAGGGGGGAGTCGACTATACAACACCCCACCCACCGTATGCTTCCCTCTTCTCAGGCAGTGCACCAGTCCACATTCACACATCGTGCCGTCCTCCCCGCAACCGTCCTTCCCCTACCCATCCACTCCCAAACCTGAAAGAACATATCCAACATCACCTAGCCCAAACCCCAGATACCCCCCGAAACCTCAACGAAGGAGAAGAAAAAGGAACGCCGAGAAATGCGGTTTCCAACAGACTCTCTTCGCGCCAGAAAAAAGAAAATTAGCTAGCACAAACGGCAAGCCCCATCTGCTTCGCATCGCACCCCGTACGCCGTTCGAATACTGTGCCAATGGTATATGAGGAAAGCGCAGACAGTCTGCCGCCATCTTCGGCGTTTGGCGAGCTTCACGTGGAATGAAGCGAACGCTAGGTCCTCTATTTCCTTGGACCCTCATCCCCAGCGCGCTGTGCAGCTCTGCGCGCAGCACGTGGTATACAGGCCCGCCCTTATCTATCAAGCCTATACCATCTCTTCCCGCATCATCCTTCTTCCTATATCCTCATTCTCATCCTCATTCAGAATATCTCTTCCCTGTAACCTATATAGGGTCAAAAAAAATCCAAAAAAAATCCAATCATCCATCTCTGACACGACCTCTCACTCAATAAGCGGTTTCCTGACGCCACCTACAATCGCCATGCCCAGCGCCCGCAATCCATGCGGGTCATTACTCCTGACAATCGTGCTGGCCGGCAACATGGGATTATCGGGTGAGACGTGCGCCGCGTCTTTGGCGGCCTGTTCGATGGCTTCCATTTCCTCTTTGCAGCCCGTATGGTCGAAGGGACAAACAACGATAGGTTGCCTAAGCAGAATATCTCTAGCGCTCGACATCTGAGCCTACAAAACAATCAGCACTCCATACAGCCCACTCAACCCACTCTGAATCCATTACACATGTATAGTATCTTACCTTGACCGTCAAATAATACTCAATCTTATACAGCGTCCCTGTCGTCGTAAACCCGCTAACGGCATACATGGGAAACTCCTTCTTCCCCCTCGGAATCACCCCCTCATTATCCCTCAAATCCTTCGCCGGGAACACCAAGCCTAGATTCGTGAAATAGCCCGCATCGGGCATCTTGACGCCTACCGCTTGCGTCGTCTTAGCGAGCGTCTTAACTTTGCGCGTCGGCTCATCGCCTTCGTGGTTGAATATAATCTCCTCATCGATGCCTACGGTGATTTTCTGTATCGTTACCTTCTTCGCCTTGTTCAGCCAGTCCGGGTTGGGACTAAGCTTGATATACACCGAGACCGGGTCCAGGGGCCCATAGCTCCAACGCGGCAACGAGATGCCGAGGGTGACGAGGTGGTCGGTAACGCGTTCAGCGGACTCGGGTCGGTTGTACATGCCAAAAGTAGACAATGTATCGTATCTGCTAATGGGGACGGGGAATGCGTATTTCTTCTGCTCCGAGTGGCCCTGCTGCACTGTGACTACTAACTCGTAATACGTCTCAGCCGTGCGACTGGGCAGCTGGAGGCTCGCCGGGGGTACACGGCGGGCAACTTCTTCGCCGCCCCGGCCGTAGGGAATGAATATTACAAAGGGGAGGTCCATGGATAATACGGATTCAGACTCTTTGCCTGCAGGACAGCGGAAGAGGAGCATTTCTTTGCCGACAATGTCTGTGATTTCCTTGCGGGGGGCAGCGAGGTGCTTCTTGGTGACAGAGTCAGCAGCGGGATGGATCGTTTCACGGCGTTGGAGACATATCGTGACGAGGGAGACGGTGACGGGAGCAGAGATGCCGACTAAAGGTCTGATTTCGACTTTGCCTTCTATTCGCGGCTGGGGACGTTGTTAGCTGGTGTGCGCTGATAATAGAATAGTAAACAGCAAATCTACGGCGCTGTGCCATTCCTATCGAATACCCTCCTGCCCTCTGATTCTGTTGAAGCAGTGAATTTACTAGTAAAGTAATCCCAATCCCAAAGCAGCGCAAAGCGCCAAACAGTCCAGAAAACTCGGAACCTACCAGCGTCGCACTGATTCCCGGATAGCCAACCAAAAAATTGCTATTCGGCGGCCCCGAGACCCTCACAAAGGCTGACATGTTCTCTCGCTTTGATCAGACTTGGATCGCCCTCGTGGCCCGTCCGCAAGCCTCCTCATTCGTCCGTCCGCAACTGTGGCAGTCTCTGCGCAGAGACGCTTGCTCTTGCGGCTCCAGCTTGATTCCCCGGTGTGTGAGCGCGGCGCAGCGTCGGCGGTGTTCGGCGTACGGTGTGGTGTTGGGTGGGTGGTGGGAATGTAGGTAGCCTCCCGGTTGCGGGCAGTGTGGGGTTCGCGATGGAGCGGCTGGAATGCTGCTTTCGAGCTGTGGAGCTGGCGGGGTAGCGATGCGGGTGGGCAGGCGGTCGCACAGACGAGGGCGCAAGACAGCGAGCGTGGACGGCGTGGGTATGTAGGAATGGTGGGTGGATGTGAATGTGGTGGTGAAGTGATGTTCGTCGTAGGGCTGGCGTCGTGGGCGCGGAGAGCTCAGGTGGTGATAGGCTAAGCTCTGGGCCCTGCTTGTGTCCTCGTAATGAGTATCTCGCAGATCGGCCAGCTAAGGGTCGTGCTAGCCGCGAGCTGGATAATTATGTCTTGAGACGGCGCGAGTACAAAGGATATGTAGGATACGTATAGCGAGTGCGTGTGTGCGGCGCAATGGGTAACCTGACGGGCCGGCTCGGGAGGTGAGGTTGGCCACAAGCTGGGGAAACATGCCAGTAGCAGTCCAGGTGGTGTCCGAGTTGGGGCCTTCCATTGGTACTGGCACAGCCTGGCATACATAGTCTACTAGCCTACGCACAGGGGCCTGCGAGCTGAGCCATCTCGTCATTCTCACTCGAGTTCTCCCTCCTCTCAGCACCGCCCAACCCACCACCGCGTACGCAGGGCCATACATATCCCGATCTCACACTTGGCTAGTCGATGCGGGAGGAGCTATAGCTGCACCATGTCTGTCACAGTCAGTCCCGTCTCCCGTACTCCCGTCCATCTCCATCTCGTGTTTGCTCCATCTCCCTCCACTCAGCACGAGCTCCCGTCAATTCTCCGACCCGACCACCGCCACCAGCCCCGATCTGATCTACTTCGGCCACTATTTCTCACCCTTTACTACGCTGGTCTCACCTCTCAACCCACCCTCCAATCCTCCCCTTCTCCAATTCCCAAAAAGCTAACCGGCCCAGCTACACACAACTAAAGGCCCCCTAAAACTCGAGCTCTTCTGCTCCACCACCCCGCGCACTACCGAAAACTTCCTCGCCCTCTGCGCCTCCTCCTTCTACGACCATTCCCCCATCCACCGCCTAATCCCCTCCTTCATCCTGCAGACCGGCTCGCCCGCCTCCGACCCCAAATCCAAGACCTCTGTCTCCATTTACCAGACACCCTCCCGCCTCTTCGACGACGAGATCCGGCCAGCGCTCCGGCACAACGCGCGCGGGGTCGTTAGCATGGCCAACAAAGGGCCGAACACGAATGGTTCGCAATTCTTCATTACGCTAGCCCCCGCTCCGCATCTGGATGGGAAGAACACCGTGTTTGGCAAAGTGATTGATGGGTGGGAGACCTTGGACGAGATTGAGGGGTTGGAGGTGGATAAGAAGAATA